GTCAGCGATATCGCTTTATGCATTAGTGCGATTCCACGCTAAATACCCTCTCTTCCGGTTGACGTATTGACCAATCAGAGGGCGTGTTTACTTTAAGCTATGCGATTAACACAAAATTTAAATATTATGCTGCTGCTTCAAGAATTCTATAGAAAAATTCACTTTCGGAATGCAATGATACACGTATGGAGATATGGAGGCTCAGAAACATTAATCGGGAATCAAAAATTCGATTCAGAATCGAGCAAGTTTTTCCTTACCTCCTGACGTATCAAGCTCATTTTTAATCAGCTTATTTTGTCTCTCTTCTATTAACAGGCCTCAGAATTCAAGTTCAGCCTCTCGAGGTCTACAGATTGGCAATATATTGGTCGTCGCGTACAGTACACTCTTGAAATGACCATCCCAGAGACCACTCAATTGAGACCAAAAATCAAGAGTCCTTTCAACACCTCTGCCATTCTGCGACTGACCAAAACAGAAGTGACAGAGGTTAGTCCTCAACTGACCGTCCTAAACACATCCCCAAACCTCACTTCATCTGCAAACGATGGTTTACACGACATCGCGTTTTTTGAATTTGGCGAAGTTACGAGAGTAGCTCACGTAAACGACACCAAGATTAAGATTGAGTTCGAGATTCAAGTGATGGATAATCAGCAGATCGTGAACGGTGGTTTGCAGTGGGTTAGTGTTGGAACCGAGTACAAAAATCAATCTGTCTGGGCTGCCATGCTTGCAGTAAAGACTGTCAAACCAGCCTGCAAGAGACCGGATCTGAAAGTGACTTTATGGAGTGTTAAAAACTACCATACTGTACTGTCGGGGTATGTATTTTCTCTGGCAGTTACTTTAAAGCAAATTATAATTACTCGTTTCAACTCGAGGAGAATATACTTTTCAGTGATTCAACGAAAGCCATTAACGCGCATACGTTAGGTTGGAAAACTCAATATTCAAAGTTAAACGTTTTAGGTGCTATATTGAAATGATGTGATAGCTAATGTAAGCAAAATATCAGGAACCAAAAAAGGAGAACATGAATTTAAGAATCAATAACGACACAATATCGAGGTGGTTAAAATAGAAAAGCGATATTGGGGCAAGAAGAGGCAAACGATTCTATGCGACTAAAACTTATAGCAAGGTGAGCAATTTTTTTAAGTAAACAAGTTAAACATCTCGTTCAATACGCGGTCGTAATTATCTCACCAAGCCAAGAAATCGTCGAAAGTTTCCTTAGCTAGATCTAGAGATTTTAAATTGCCCCTAACTTCGCTGTTTGATTGGTATCCGTAATCAGCTGATGGGGAAAGCTTTGTGGAATGTTTTAATAATGAGCCAGGTAAACATTTATGGGTGCTTAGTTACTTCAAATTCGTTCCCCTTCAACTTTCTGCCCTAAATTTCCACTCTGCGCTGAATCTCAACTGTCTACTCTATTTGGGATTATTAATAACTGTCGTGTTTCCAGCCAGTGAGCTTGCTGAAATTTTCGTGTGTATTAAAATTTTCCTGATCCCCCTATAAGGCTCAGTATGACCCCTACCCCCCTCATTGGCGATAAATTAGCAGTCTATTAGCTATAGTCCCTCCTTTATACTTTTTACACTCTATTTCTTATATTCTGCCCCTCTCCCCCCCCCCCTTTGTACTCTGTTGGCGGCGACTGATCTTCCCTCCGTTGCCACTGAAAACCACGTGATCTCTTCCAAAATCTTCCATTTCCCTCCCCGGCTGGACCTTCAAAGTATCTTGATTCACATGTTTTCCTCCATTTTATGTCAGAAACCAAATTGATCTTCGTGTGGATGTAGAACACTCAGACGACACCACAGACCTAGGGGAGAGCGGCACACTACAACTACCTTTACCACCTTTTCTAACTTACGACAGTTTTACCAAACAATCCGACTCTGTCAATGTTGTTGCGCGATCTAGCGCACAGATGGTCTCCTTCGAGGTAAGATGCTCATTTTTTCCGAAAAAACTTTTCATTCCAAGAGGACTCTTTTTGAGTCCGACGACACAATATTTAATCGATGCTAACCTTATTTTTTATTGTTTCAGTTTGGGCAACTTGAATTTCCCCAAAAAGTGTCACTGAGAATAAAATTAAACCTGGATCCCGGCAAAAAAAGAGCTGATGGGAAAATCCACGACTGCACAGTGTACGTGAATCTTATATACAATGGGTCAGCGGACACCTGTACCTCGGCCTCAGGCTCCCGGGAGTTTTCTCATCAAGGGCCGTCCTCAGCATCATTCAAGTATTATGTGCAAAGTATGTGTCAAGGCGTTTAGCATATCAACCAATTATTGCATTCAGGGGGCCAGGAGGATGATGTTGTTATTTTTGTCATCATTTATCTAACAAATGGATCACGAGATTTCTACCGTGTTGTAGTCAACGAGGGCGAACCCCAAATCAACTACCCCGCAAAGAAATTGAGGGGGAATTTGTTAAGTAACTCGCTTTACACATCGTCTATCAGGAAATAGATAGCGAGTGCTGTAACCAATCAGATTTCGGCGATTGTGATAGAATGCTGTTAGACTTGCACCAAACGTGTGTATTTTCCACTGCCACGGAACAATGTCGGGCAGCTTATTTCGACTATTTCCAGACAGACAGACATCTATATTTATACAGGATAGCCCCTTCAGTGTAGTAAACACTGGTATCAACGGGGGTCCTGTTACCCACCCAACCCACCCCAGGGGAGGACATCCATCACACAGTAATCTCGTGCGTGGGAAATTAACGTCTCCTGCCCCTAACCCTGCAGGAGACGGGACCTCCATTTATTCGTCCCTATCCGAGAAGACTAGAATATCTAACCATTTCTTGATGTTAAAGAAAGGAAGCATATTCTTCTCAGTTAATTTTAAGACCCTGAGTGTTGGTCCGGCCGGTATTGAACTCTCGACCTCCCGCACAGCAGTCCGGCGCTCTCCCAATTGAGCTAACCAGGCGGCGGTTAAATTGAAGGGAATCTTCAAGGATCGCGAACTTCCCAGAAAGAAGCGCTTATTAAGCGTTGAGAGCGACGGTGGAGAAATCCAAGCTTCGTGCCGTGGGATATCCTCGAAATGTTTACAATTCGATCCGATCAATACGACTTGTACCTCTAATGCTACAGCCAATTCTAATATTTCTACGACGATCAGCCAACAGGGACGNGGCTTGCGTTCCCCAGTGACCCCTAGAGCTATGTTGGCTGGAGTCTTGCACTCCTGGCAGGGACACCCATGCCAAACAGGTCGAAGGGTAGGGCCAGACGAACAGTGATCCCACTGGCCCTCCAGGGTGGGGGTTGGGCAGAGGGCTGATAACCCTCCCCCGTAAAATTAAGAAAAAAAAAAAAGAATTATTATAACATAATCAAAGTAAAGCGCGCGCTCTGATTGGTCAATTTAGCGTCCCCCATTTGCCCATGGGTGTACGCTGCTGACGTGAGCAAATGCAAAGACTATTTTTCCGCGCGCGCTTGTTTTTTCTGGTCGCGTAAGATTTGTTAAATAAAAGGGAACTCTTTAGCTACAATGTATCAATGTTATGTTATAAAACAAATGGTAAACACCACAGCGTACACTATTGAGTTATGGATGCACGCGGGAGGTTGCTAAGCACGAAAGAAGCGTAAGAGTCGCTCGAGGCGATAGCCGAGAGCGACTCTAGCTTCTTGAGTGCTTAGCAAACCTCCCAAGTGCATCCATAACTCAATAGTGTACGCTGTGGTGTTTACCATTTGTTTTATAACATAACATTGATACATTGTAGCTAAAGAGTTCCCTTTTATTTAACAAATCTTACGCGACCAGAAAAAACAAGCGCGCGCGGAAAAATAGTCTTTGCATTTGCTCACGTCAGCAGCGTACACCCATGGGCAAATGGGGGACGCTAAATTGACCAATCAGAGCGCGCGCTTTACTTTGATTATGTTATAATAATTCTTTTTTTTTTTCTTAATTTTACGGGGGAGGGTTATCAGCCCTCTGCCCAACCCCCACCCTGGAGGGCCAGTGGGATCACTGTTCGTCTGGCCCTACCCTTCGACCTGTTTGGCATGGGTGTCCCTGCCAGGAGTGCAAGACTCCAGCCTACATAGCTCTAGGGGTCACTGGGGAACGCAAGCCGCCCCACCACAACAAGGCGGCGATCCTAATCGAGGCAGAACTCAATGTATGATTCAACAATATTAATTTAAGGAGAAAGAATTAGATGCTAGTCAGTCATTCGGCCCAAACTTCTTCTATGTGTTTTAGAAGCCAATTGTGATCAAGCCCTTGGTTTGCAAGATAAGAGCATCAAAGACTCTGAGATCATCGCCTCCTCGTTTTCCTCTGGCGGTGAGCCTCACCAGGCTAGGCTGGGTGGCAGTAAGGCTTGGATACCTAGGGGACAGTTGGCGTAAGTTGTAATGCAACAGCTTTCAGCTTTTGAACGTGTGTGTGTGTGTGTGTGTGTGTGTGGAGGGGGGGGGAACCTAAACACCAAGTGATCCCCAAAATCTTCACTCCCCCCTCTCCTACGCGATAGATGATGACAACCCTTACCATCAATAGCAAACCCATGTGGTTGTCTTTGGTCTATGTCTTGAAAATATTCAACACGATAGCAAAATAAAACACACTTAGAGGCTGAAGCCACACGGAATCGCCTTAACACTTATCTTTCCTCTTCCTCCTCCTCATGAAATGAACCCATAATTCAATCTGAGCACAATTTGAGAAATCTCTTCTCCAATGTGTGCAGAGTGTCAGGAGATGATCTGAAACTAGAAAACCATTAAAACTCCTGCGAAACCAGACGAACACTCGGCGTTTCGTTACTCGGGTTGGCTTGTTAGGCTGATTGAAGGACACAATTAATAAAAGTGGGTTGAAAAATCACGAACTTAAAATAGAGCCTTCAAGATGTGCAGACTTTCTGCTTGCATTCAGAATCCTTTCAAGCCTATATCAATACGTAATTTATTTTACTTTAATTTCTGTGATCGAAACGCGAAGTTATTTTGGAAGCAAATTAAACGTGACCCAGTTTTTTCTGATTTCTTTTTCATCATTGCTTTAGGAAGGAAAAATCACAGTTTCTTCAAGTTGATTTCACAAGTGTAGCTAAAGTCTGCCGACTCACTACGCAAGGATTCAATGGCAGTTTCGTCACTAGACTTTCTCTTTTCTACAGCGACGATGGAGTCATTTGGAAGCCATACAAAGAAGGAAGCAAGATCAAGGTAACGCAATCATTTTAGACCCGAATCAGTGACGGCTTTCAATAATAACGTGACAAACCCATAAAGGATGAAATGAAGAGTACAGATAAAGTATTTTAGTTGTTATTAGTTTCCTTTTATGTATGATTTGGAGGCGTTTTATTTGCCTGACGATAGTTTCGTTTGTTTTTGTTTTGCTTTATTTTTCTGTTCACTTTTGAAGGAGTTTGCGGCAAACACTAATGACGACTACGCTCAGATGATTGTGATTTCGATTTGCATTGAGGCTCGGTTTATTCGTATCAATCCCGTGGGATGGTACAACAGCATTGCCCTCAGGGTGGAGTTCTTCGGGTGCACGACTGGTCGTGCTCTCTCATCGGGTATGTCTCGATACGTTAGTACTTTTCATTAACTGAAACTGAAAGTCAGGGGAAATATAGGACTCACGCCTGACATGTCAGCTTTTCAATAATTGACTGGCTAACTGACTGGCTGACTGATTGGCTGGCTTGACGGCTGGTTGGCTGGCTGACTGACTGACCGACTTATTGGCTGGCCGGCTGGCTGGTTGACTTGTTGGCGGACTGACTGACTGACTGACTGACTGACTAACTAACTAACCGACCGACCGATCGACTTACTTCTTACCGACAGACTGACTAACTGACTGACTGACTGACTGACTGACTGATTGACTGACTGACTGATTGACTGACTGACTCACCAACTACCTGACTCTCTGACTTACTGATTGACTTACTGAATAACTATCTGAAGGACTACATGGCTGGCTGATTGACTTACAAACTGACTTTCGACCGACTAGCTGGCTAAAATTCGTAAGAATTGTTCGTTTGACTTACCCCCATGGCGATTTCGATCTTGATTGACTCACCCAGTATTACCTTAACTAACGTAGCCCAATAACTTAATATGTGACATTATAACTATTAATGACTTTTTTCAGGTTCATTGACTTTCACAAGTCGCGGTTTCTTATTGGACAAGAGCTCTGACGTCATGTATGTTTGTAGCGTGCCAATGAAAGGGTAAGACCCAGTTAACAGTGAGTCACGCAACAAAAATATCCGTCACTAAGTTCATTTTTATTTCTAAGGCCGTGTGGCTGTGAAGAATCTGACAAATCCTCGAAATTTATACAAGTGTTTTATTTGTATTTTGCAGAAGTAAGAGTGCACCACATTGCTTCCTCAGTAAAGACAAAGGAAATGCTTGGACAGGTAAAATCAGTTGAGTCCTTCAAAAGCTTGGCCATGGGCCATTAAAATGGGAAAGACAAGATGCAACTAAATAACAAAAGAAAACAGTGGGAAATTGCGCGCATACAGCAAAATCAGAAGTGAGAGAGAAAAATTCAATTCAAAGAGTTTTGTTTTCTAATAGAAACAGGATTAAAGAGAACAGCTTGCTTCCTTTCCAAAGTTTGTCAACATACTTCTCCTGTGGGATGATGGGGGTCTCCTCACTCTTTCCCAGAGCCCTGCCGATTTTTGTCCTCGCTTGCTCTTTCCCTCGTTTTTACTGACCGAGAGCCTGGTAAGGCTCATCTTGTCCGCTCGGGATTTCCCATTTTGACCCCGAGCAAGAAAAAAGGTGCGTGGAGCAGACTTACAAAGTTCGTAGCTTTTGGACAGTTTTGGCCACTTGACCAGCGGTAGAAGGCAGTCAAAACAAAGAAAAAAATTATACGGCCCTCTTCAGTTTTTTGTGCTACAAATGAAGTGGCTTTCTTTCTCGGCTCTCGAAAAAGAAAAGTCATTTTTAATTCTTACCAAAACGAAATCCATTTGCTTGGTCAATAACGCATATTTATTTGATACATAATGCACAGGCTTGGATAATCGTCTTCTTACTCTGGTTGGACACGACAAGGACGAGAAAATTCTGTTTGGAGTAAGCAAGAATGGAAAAGCCGTTCTGAAAAGCACCACAGACCATTTGGCTCGGTTCATTGCCGTCCCTGAAGATGAGTGGGTTAAGGCCAAAGCTAAGGCAAACACAATTCAAACAGTCATGCTTGAAAATTCCCTGGCTATCACTGATGCAAACATGGACCCAAAATCCCAACACACTATCACTGCTGACAACTCTGGCACTGAATGGGGCGGTAAGTCTAGATTTTCTTTTAGGTAAAGTCTCTCCATCGAAGAGCGCGTCTTGATAGAGTTTCGTGAAACCTAAACCAAAAATCATCACATTGACCAATCCGAGCGAACGAAGTTATTGTAATGAGCGAACGAGAGATCAAAGTTAGAACGATTATGCTGCCTGTAGTGCGGGAAAACTCCGGAATGACGTAGTCTTGATGGGTTTTCTTCCAGAGGTTGTTGATGTGTGGCGCTGGCCATTAGGATAGCTGAACGACAATGCATACAGTTGATGTTTTAAATCTTTATTTTAATCTCATATCATCTTAGTTACTGTAGATGGTATTATCTCAATTTAGTTGTTTTTACTTTTACTTTCTGTGTTATCTGCAAACTAGCTGGTGAAATTGTTCTCGCAAAAGCTAAGTGTATCTGCACAATAAACTTGACTTGAACTTGAACTTGTTATTGTTCTTGTTGCTGTAATTCTTTTTGTTGTCGTCGGTGCTTTTGCTTGCTCACTGGAAACTTCCTTTCTTTTAAAAGCTTCAGCTCAAGGTATTCATGTGAAAGAGAACTCAAAGTGGAAACTGAAGGCCATTTGGATGTGTTCCGGTATGTAAGAACACAAAAACTTCCTTGTGTTTTCAAGCATATTTGTAAAGATAGGTGAGAAGCATCGCAAGCCTATTGGTGTTATTTGATTTCGATCGGCACTAGCTGCAATTGCACAAAAGATAGCCTGTGAGCCGACCTTCATCACTAACGCGGCACGTTGCGCGTTTCTCCGCCCGCGAGAAGATTAGAGACGAGTCGGGGATAGGTATGGCGGGGTCTGGCACTATCAGTGCCATACCCCTCTCTGACTTTTTGCCGGCATTGCTCAAGGCCTCACGGGCGTAGAAACGCTAGTGCCAACCTCTTTCCGCCCTGCTCGTGCCGAAGCGCTAAGAATGAGCTCGGGGGACTGCTTGCAGGCTCCCCACAGAAAAAAATCTCTCCATTTGGGATAGCCGGATATTCGAGTTGCCTCGGCCATGATTACTCGTCTGTATTTATCTGTTGTTTTTCTTCCATGTTGGGCTTCATTGTTTGAAAATATTTCAAATCAATTGCTTTTTATTTCTCATTTCAGAACCTGGCAATAAGTAAGCTGTTTTTGCACCTCTCTTAGTGGGATAACAACGATAACGAGGCTCAGTTAATCATTCAAACGTAATTTTTTTCCACTAAAGTCGTCTAATTTATAGTGATCTCACTCGTAAAAGCCACACTACAACTCATTCACATAAAATTCAACTGACATTCTTTGTATTGATATTCTAGCGATCTTTAGTTACTAAAGCAGTAAGCAGTTAGTACAGAGGGGCTCGTTTCTAACTTCAGAAAACGTTCTTAAGGCAAACATAAGAAATTCCTTTCTGATGACGTACCTCGGCATAGATCTGTGCAGCGCCCGCCTCTGTTGCTTTTGTTTTTCTTTATCTGTGCCCACGCGCGACAACTTGAAACCAAACAGCACTTCATGGCAGACGCCTTACACTGTGTCTGTGAAGATGACAATATTGACGTTCAGTAAGTCGTTTTTCAGCCCCCCTCCCTACTCCAGGGGTACTTTCTAGTAATGGGCTTATGGGGATGTGGGATGTGCCGCTTGATTGGCAAGCATTTTCACGACAGGGTTGACTTAAACGAGGTTGCAGTTACTAGAACAGAGTTGCTATTTTTCACAAGAGAGTTCTGGTTAGTGGGGATTTAAAAGTGGGAAGATCTGCGATTAAAAAGTCGTTACCCAAGTACCTACTCCCCGGTACAGGCCGAGCACAGGCCCTGCAATTCAATATACTTCTAACTAAGTGGATACTTGCATATTACGCAAAATGTAGTTTTTATTGGCTTAAGTAGCATAACTCATTTTAAAAGCACCTCAAACGTATCACTACTTCTCGTAAATTATCTACATTCAGTAACTTCTCACCTTTTCAGCTTTACGTCTTGTGGACGTTATTGTAGCAAACAAATGCGCATGCTCGTAACATGAAATAGAGATAGCCTATGTGGTACTTTTCATTTATTACTATTACTTTATTAATATTAATTTATTCTACTCTAAGACTTTTTAAGATTCCTTAGTTAAGTCTTTCGCTCCCAGAGGTGACCAAGTAATAATTTATCCTCACAACATTGAGACTTGATTGGGCGGAAAGGTGCCGAGAATAATAAAAAACATCACCATTTAGTTAAGAACTAAGTTCCCATTTCCAAAATCATAAGAAAAGTACTGGAAACGATAGGGAGAATTTCTATTTTAATCTTCGGAGTCAACGTTTTTAATAGATGGGCAGTTCTTTGAACAGCAACAGAAAATCTCCTTATAGGAGACAATTTTTGAGGAAGTATTTCACTATCCACTCGGATTTATAACTTTGTTAATATTTTATCACTTAACCATAGACGAGTCATAGTTTTATAAAATGATAAACCTCTTTTGTAGTTAATTTAACTAAGACTCTATACTATTTGTTTTAGATTTTAATTCGAGATGGTGACTGATATTATGCCAAACCTGTATCACTTAAAAATAACTTCAAATTTGTGTAAAAAGCTTCAGCGATGGTCTTTCACAATAAAGACTAACCTGCGTACCAGGCCTTCCCGTTTGCCTTTATCCAAGCGGAAGAAGCTTGAGCCGCGCAAGGGCATGGGGTGAAAGCGAGCAAAACAGGCGACTAACACGAGGAATGGGTAGGGCAGAAAAAAAAAGGCTTGCTGCTGAGGTCACAGATTTTTCGATCACCTCTTCTTCCACGAAAGGGAGGCAGCTAGTGGCAATGCTTGTGAGGATAAAGCTCAAACGCAGGAAAAAAAGAAGTAAGAAAGAGGTTGCTCGACTTTTGTGATGTGATTTTATCATTTAAATTACATACAAATACTCTTTTTATACAAGTGCTTCAACAAATTGTAATACCGTGTTAAAGTTTTTTGCGTAGCCTCCTTCATAGAAATAAAGTGTTCTTTTTTTTCAACCGCATATAAGTAAGCTCTATTCCAAGCTTCCCATCCCAATCATTTCTTCTCTGTCATCGCTCGAAAAAAGGCGTAAATTTAAGAAAACACAACAACAGGTTTCGAAGTTTTAAACATAGAAACTCCGGTAAATGCAAATAAAACTCTTTTCAAAACTCATGTGTATATATTGCTTTATTATTGAATTTTAGGCAATCACATATTCTCAAGTATGTTGTTGCGCCCCTAATTCGGCTCAGTTTTGATTTGGAATAGACTTTAACTAAAAATGTGCAATTCATTCGTTGTCAGTATCCTCAAAGTCACTTAATATGTCCAAACTTCCATCATCGAGAAAATCCAGTTCATCGCGAACATCGTTGAGTTTTTCTAGACTTTCCTTAATAGTTTCATCCAGTCCAGCGAGGTATCTGTCGAGATCCGTACCATCGCTGTCCATTTCTTGTTTGATCTTTGCTACTTGTTCCTGTTCGTCGGTCATGTGATCGACCGTTGGGAGCATTGCGTCATTAACAATGGAGTTTTCGCGCGCACGTCTCGCGACCATTTGCTCCTCTTCAAATTTTGCCGCCTCGACTTTCAGCCAATCCACGGCTTGCTCCTCTTCTTTTTTACTATAAAACTGGACACGATCGTTTTCTTTGCCGCGTGTAGCATTTCTCTCCGCGCTCGTGAAATCACTATTGGAAAACCCCTGGTCAACAGCAGCCTTAAAGCTCGTGCCTGTCATGTTTGTTCCAGGAACTCGGTTTATCTGCGCCATATTGAATGCATCTTTAAGATTTCTTGGTTGGTAGCAGAGTGACCTTGCGTTTGCACGATCTCGTATCGTCTGAGGAGATACCGTTGTGTTACTTCTGTCTGCCTGTTGACTATAAGGATGGTGACAGCTATAAGAACCAGTGTTACAAGGGATTCCACCGGGGCTACCCATTGTCATATATGCCAAGCGTCTTTTCGACGGTCTAGGCTGATAAACCCAATTTGGATGTTCATTTCGGTGTTTCTCCTTCAAGCGCGAAGCTTCGTCAAAATATGGCCGTTGTTGTTCCGTGGACAATTCATTCCAGATCTCGCCCAGCTTGACGCTTATCTCAGCATTGTTTGCGTTCGGATATCGCTTCGCAATCGTCGATCTGTATAATCTCGCCCAGATCATGAACGCATTCATGGGCCTCTTGACCTTCGGCGAGTTGTTCTGTTGCAACTGCGCTTGCAAGCTGTGGTACAAGTGTGGCATGCGCAGAAAGGTTTGGCTCATTGGATCGACTGAAAATCCTGTGAAGCCTCCAGGGCTGCATTGTTGAGTTGATTCGGATGCTGAAAACGAAATGCTCTCAGTCTTTTGCACTGGCGACGTTTGAGACGAAAATTCAGGTACTTTACTTTTGTCATTCGGTGTTGAATGGTTAGGTAGGCTATTTTGCATTTGCGCAGACTTCTTCGGTGTGTGGTTTTCATCGCGCCCTTTTTCCTCCTCTTGCGATACAGAGCAATTGATTGAAGAGGTTTCCTTAACTGACGCGTTGCATTCTTCCTTTGATGTCGTCAAGTTAAGCATTGTGTCCACAAAACGTTGTAAACAATGACAAAAGAATCGTAACTAACTGTTTGTTTCGCAAACAATGGAGTGTACCGGAAAGCAAACAATCGATCGATCTGTTGTCTTGATGGAAACCGTTACTTATTCACCATGGAAACCGGATAAAATAGTGACGTGCATGCGCAACGAATACCTTGCGCGCGCGAATAATTCTTTTAAAGGGAAAGCAGATTTGTTGCGTGCGCGTGCGCAGTATCGTGGTAGAGAAAAGTCGTATGAAAGCGCCACCGATTTTCCAAGTGATTTTTCCTGAGATCAGCGCGTTTCCCAATTAAATTATTAAACGCTAGCTGCACTGCAGCATAAAATCTTTGTTTCATTCGGGAATAATTCTCATAGAAAAAAAACTGCATATTGCCGTTGCAAGATCAAACCCTTCCCTCCCTTCCCTCGTAAAAAAAATGAAACAAATTTAGTGACTCCTGGTATGTTGTCTTACTTATCGGGACTTTCGACCTAATAACATACAAAGACTGCAGAAAAAGGGGAAAAATATTGTAATGAACATTGTAATGAGTATTTAGCAGAGGATACCCTCGCCTTTCTCATTCATTGTTTCCAGTCGAATTGATATCGAAGAGACAAATTCCGGAAAACTCTGTTGGGCGCGGAAATATGCTGGTATATTCGTCATTGAACATTATCTGTTCTCGAAGCTCACAGGTTTAATTGAGCTTAGCTTTTCGAGAGCTGTTCGTAACTAAGAACAGCCAATGTCTGCTGACAAATATCCGTGCACAATTCCGCACCAAATATTCCGGAACTCTCTCCCTATTTCAGTCACTCGTTCGTCAAACTTTCTTGGCTGTAAAGCGAAATTGCAAGAGTTTTTACTTAAATAATCACTGAATTGGCCAAGCCGCACATTCGCAGCACTTTTTCTTTACTTAATTTATTATTGTAAGTGAGGTGGCTCTCCCATAAGCCTGGTGGCTTCTTGGGTCTCCTCGCCTTCTAACTGTTATCGCTGTAATTAACTATTTTTTTAATTGTTAAAATAAGGCAAATAAAGATGATGATGATGATGATGATGAT